ATAAAATGCTATTTTAATTTATGTTTGCATAGTATGAGTTAGGGTCCGGATCTCTGGGTCCGGACTAGTTTGGTTGTTTATTTTTTGATGTTAAATTAATGTTGGAATGGTTAATCTATTGTTCTTGCCTTATTTAGTTAATTAAACTCGAAGGATTTAATTAGCTATTTATTGAGAAAATATTGTATGCCAAAAGGCTATGATATTCAAGTACAACGAATTAAGTACAAATCTAGAAATGGATGAGTAGTAATAGAAATATTATTATTCCAATTGTTAATTTAATATGATAGAATAGATCCAAATGATGTCTTGACCCTAGGTCCAGATCTACACTTATACTATGTAAACTTAATTTATTATTTTTACTCTGCTCTTTTTATAATCGTTTCGAGAAGACTTTCATAAACCAATTCTAACCTTCGCCTAGTTAGAGTAATTAAACTGATTCCCTTCGTCCACTCCTCGAGAGACACGACACTCGGAGAGAAAACTAACCCTTTACTGGGTAGGTTTACTACCCGAAAAACTACAATTGTCAATGGCGCCGTTGCCGGGGAGTGGCACGGCATTAGTTTAATTTCTTCTGATTAGCTTGGGTGAAGATTGGTTAGAACGATCTTCTCACTTCTTTTTCACCAACCACCCGTAATAATTATTATGGATAACCCCAGTGGTTATTACGGTCCGCCTTCTTTCTACCAATCCCCCAACCACCCTCCGTTTCAAACCCATCCACCTTACCACCCACATCAGAACCCAAATGATGATGACTACCAAGTCAACAATCAGTCTGACTACTATCCCTACCATGAGGAACCACCATATGATATCCCGTCTAGAAACTTTGGATATTCTCCATACCAAGATTCTGATGGAGATAATTATTATGAACCTCATGGTGACCAAGATGACTATGACCAATTTGGGCCTATGTGCGACGATCAATCTGATCCACTCGTCGAAGAGATCATAAGATTAGAACAGAAAATCTTCTATTTCGACGAAGTTTTATTTGCTGAAGGCTCCTGGTACGAACCACCTTACTCCCGTGACTACACACCGTTTGCTGAAGAACAAATCGAAGCAAACAAGGTGGCAATTCGAGAAAGAGCAAAACTTCTTGAATCAGTCCGGAAGGAAAAGGAGTTCGAAAGGAGATTATGCAAAGGATCAGAGATGATGCAAAAAATGTTGGATGACTTCCAAAGAGAGAGACTAGAAGCCGAGGCTAAAGCTGATAAATTAGTCAATGATCTCTGTAAGGCTGTTGAACTTAAACACTCCCTCCAATCTCAAGATCAAATGAGGGAGGTTAATGCTCAAAACGAGGCTCTAGAACCTAAGACCAACCCTAAGCCATTCAACCATCAGGTTCCAGTTCTAGAAGATTCACCCAGTTTTTCACCATCACAGAAACCCGAGAGCATAACAACTCTCGCTAGGGCTACTGTGGTGATGTTACCTGAATGTCCTCCTAGCCAAGTCTCAACCAGCATAGTCGTACAAGAGGTGGAACCAACTGAGGGACCTGACTCAGAACCGCCTAGCCTTATTCAAGAAAAGAAGGAGGAGGAAGTTTTGCCTATGGCAATAAACGACCATCTCCTTAATTGTGTTGAAGACACACCTGAGCCCATTACCTGCCCCCAAGATACCAATGTCCAAAAGTCCGAGCAGGAATCTACAGGCGAGGAAATACTTTGCATAGAAAAGCCAACTCCGTCTATAGAAACCTGTGTACGTAATGCTTCATCTGAAGACTCAGACCAAACCTTCTTTGACTCCCTACTTGACGGGTGTGACGATGTCTGCCTGAAGGATGGTTGGAGCTTAAGGAGTTGGGATGAACTTCTGATGAGTGACACTGAAGACTCTTCCATGGGGGAAAGCATGGTCGTAATCATCAAACCACAAATGGATAGTCAGCCGATTGAAGATAAGGAAGAAATCAATTTCGCAATCAAGGCTAATGATGTGGATCTGCTGAGGAGCCTTCCGCCACCACCCACCCATACAAAGTCTCCTCCATATTTCCTGTTGCCACCAAGCCGCAGGGATGAGTCAAGGATCCTGGACCTTGACCGAGCAACAATTCAAACAGGGTGGCATCAGAAGAGAGTCAAAAGGGCCAAACTTTATGACTCTCGGATTGGGAAGTCGCGGAAAAAGTGGGTGAGCGTCGAGCTACGGACGTTAAAGAAGCGCTTAACGGGAGGCAACCCGTCATTCAAATAACTAAAATAATTAAATTCAATAGTTTTATTTGTTAGTTTTTGAGGTTTTGCTTGCCGCACCAGTTTTGGGGGCAAGAGTTATTTTGTTTGTTGTCTTTGCTTTTGCAGATGAGAGAATTGTAGGGCATACCTTCCAGTGGGAGCGAAGAAGAGGTCTCACCTAGGAAAACACAAGGTTTCTGCAACCTTTGAGGCTTCTTGATCCAACAATCCTGGTTGAAGTTGGCTACTGAGAGAATATTGACTTCCCCAGTAAAGTCTCTTTTTCTCTACTATTTTGAACACGATTTGGATGCTTGATGATTTTTTTATTTTGGAATTTCACAACATGACTCTTAAAACCATTTTGAGAAATATTTTATGCATTATTTCATATTTTCATGTTATGATTATCTATTATTTCAATCTTCATCATTGAATCTTGTAAGTATTGAGATAACTTAGTAATTGCATGTGGACATTTCAACCATTAACTCTAATTCTGAGTCACTTTTAACCACGAGGGCGTGGTTCCATTTAAGTGTGAGGAGGCAAGAGTTCCTTGTTGAAATGATCTTTTTAGGAATTGTTTTGTCTATATATTTGTAGGAAAAGATATTTTATAGAATAGTCATCAATTTTAATTGTTTGATTAATTAATCTTTAGTTATCACCCGTAAAGATTGGAAATTTTTAACTCTTTGTCAAACTTTTATTTTTACTCTAACCTTTTGGGAATGTTTTCTAAAATGGTTTGGGATAAATTCACAATTTATTAAGAGTTTTTTTTTAGATCAATTAATTTTTAAGTGCTTTATTGAAAATCTTTTTGCTGATGCTCTTATGAGTATTTGTTGTTTCTTAAAAAGAGTTATTTTCAAAGTATAAGGGGTGATGTTTCAAAGCATACGTTGGTGAGACCGAGATTCTTGTTTTAGCCAAAAAGCAGTTGGTTCTAGGTCAACTGATGAGGCGTGGTGAGTATGCCGAAAAGCACGTGGTTCTATATTACGCGATGAGGCCTTTTGAGTGTTAGAGTCAGAAAGCATGCGGTTCTATGTCGTGTGATGAGACTTTCCAGAGTGAATATCCAAAAAGCTCGTGGTTCTATGTCATGGGATGAGGTTATAAATTTTTCTCGTGTCAACATGACAAAGTTGTGCCAAAGAAAATTAAAACCTTACACTTTGACAAATACTTTTGCAAGAACATGTTTTCCAATTTAGTCATTAAAAAAAATTATTTGATCTTTAAAGTACTCTTACAAATGTAGTTATCCCAAAGAAAGTTTGGAAAATTATGGTTGTTTAGGTTGGTGTAAAAATATTGATTTGACAAAATTCTTTTACATTTCTAACAATATGGGTGAGAATCTAAAGGTTCATTTCTTCTTAACAAAAAGGTTGATGACTATCTTATTTCTTTCTTTCCTTCATAATATCTAGCTTAAACTTTCCCTCTGCAATTATTGATTTGTCTTTATACTTGTAGTTATTCAATTTGTTGCTTGAGGGCAAGCAACGTTTAAGTGTGAGGAATTTGATAAGTCCGTTTCGTTCTTATCATTTACAACATATTCTAAACGTTATTGCACGTAAATAGTATTTAATCATCTCATAAAATGTGTTTTCAATGAATAAAACTCTCATTTTCGTTCTAAGAGTCATGAAAAGGGATTCCACATGAAATTATCATAAATCATCCATTTTATGTTCAAATACTTGAGAAAAAGGGAATAAATCATCAAGGGATCAAGATTCGGGCTTGAACGAACTTCCTGGAGGTCAAAAACAGTGTTCGGGACCAAAACGGAGCGAAATTGGGCCAAAATCACGAAACAGCCGCGAAGCCCAACGGACCAAGGCCTCAAGGCATCCAACTTGGACGCTTGGCCAAGTTGGACGCTTGGGAGTTGGACGCTTTGGCTTAATTGCAGCCCAAGAATGACACGTGGCAAAATCTGGTTGGCTGGGACAGCTCAGGCGTCCAGATCTGGACGCTTGGACTTGGACGCCTTGGATTCGTTCCTATAAATACAGCACGATTCTTCTCATTTTTATAATCCATTCACAGCCCCTCTCGGGTTTACTCCTCTCATTTGCTCAACAATTCTTGTATATTAGTTTAGGTAGTAATTTTGAGGTATTTTCGGAGGTTTTGACTCCAGATCTGTTCTGTTCCGCTTAAACGGAGGTTGTAAGTTTTCTTTATTTGATAAAATGCTATTTTAATAATACAAACGTATCATACTCAATCCCAGGCCTAGAGACCCAGGCCTGATCAAACCAACAAATAAAAAACTACAATTTAATTACAACCTTACCAATTAGATAACAAGAACGGAATAAATCAATTAATTTGAGCTTCCTAAATTAATCGATAAATAACTCTTTTATAACATACGGTTTTCCGATACTATAAGTTCATGTTGAGATTAAGTACAAATCTAGAAATGGATGAGTAGTAATAGAAATATTATTATTCCAATTGTTAATTTAATATGATAGAATAGATCCAAATGATGTCTTGACCCTAGGTCCAGATCTACACTTATACTATGTAAACTTAATTTATTATTTTTACTCTGCTCTTTTTATAATCGTTTCGAGAAGACTTTCATAAACCAATCCTAACCTTCGCCTAGTTAGAGTAATTAAATTGATTCCCTTCGTCCACTCCTCGAGAGACACAACACTCGGAGAGAAAACTAACCCTTTACTGGGAAGGTTTACTACCCGAAAAACTACAATTGTCAAATCTTTATAAATCACTAAAGATTTATGTACTTGAGAGGAAAAACATCTTTTGTGAAGCTTGTTGGGACTTTTTGTCAAAACAATCATCCAAATCTTAATTGCTGCCTTCTGAACTCTTAGCATCCAAAGATAACATGAGCATAATTGATATAATTTAACAAAAGAATGTAAAGACAAATCACAAATGAATTATGCAGTATTTATATGTACCTTTCTGCAAGTTATTGTGTCTGTGAAGTTGTGGCTATGCAGGTGCCTCCTCGGTGTCTTCTCCATCGCCTCAACTCCTTGATGCACCATCGAGTACACCAACAGATTGCAATGGTCAGTTCTCCCATCCCCACTGATTTTACCATTTCAATTTCAAAAATCAATTCCAAAATGTGTACAAATATGATAAGAAATTCAAACAATAGTTCGGGTAGACCCACTCACATTAGAATAAACTCTGAGAAGCAGTGCATCAAACTGACTTTTTGAAACCCTCTATGAATAGTTGTAAATCTCTAATTTCTAAAAATCAAATAAGTACTATTAAAAAATAAAATAGAAAAAAAGAGGTGTTACTTCTTTTTTAAAGCCTAACTGTCCATGGCCATATGAAGAGGCAGGGTCAAAACCCTAATTGCTTGGCCGCCTATATTGAGAGAAGAGAAGAAAGGCCTGCACAAAAGCCTAATTAATTGAAATTACGTACATACCTTGTCGGTTTCCGGTGGTCGATTTCCGCCAAGCTGTGGGCAGAGAGATGGATTATGCAGATCTTGGAATCAGACTTGCCACAACCTTCGTTTCGAAACCCGAGCCCAGGCATGGTTTCTGGCGAGGGCCTAGGAGCAAGAAGAGAGAGCTTTCTTTTCTACGGATCTGGGATCTGGTGGCAGAGAAATATGAGCACAGAGCTATTTTTCTTTTTAAACGGCGGTTTAGCTTCTCCCAATATTGCTTTTCTTTTTTTTACAGATTACTTTCCCCAAAAGTTCTCTCCAATCGATGCGATTGAAGAGTTCAATTTCAACTGTAGCTTTGAGCGGGAAATGTTACTGTTCATTTTCTCCCTTCACCATTGTATATTAGTAGATCATTTGTTCATTTGCATATCATTTAGATGGATTGAGGACAATGCATAACTTAAGTGTCGGGAGATATGTTGAAACACGGATTTATCACGTTTTCGTACTAAAGCCGTGTTCGTTGTTATGACAGGTTTTGATAATGCAAAACCGCCGTGAACGAGACAAGTCATTGAATATACAAGCCGAGAACCAAAGATGAGAAGAAAGAGAACAAGGTCCAAAAGAAGACCAAGAACGAAGACCGTAGCCTTAGTGTCGTTGAGTCGGTCACAATTGTGATCAAGACCGACCCAATCTTTACACCTTGGCTCTTTAGGCTAAAATTCTTTTCATTGCATTTCACATCATAAAAATGTTTTTCAAACATTTTTAAAACATTAAAAACACTTGGTGTTCGCCCAAACCAAAAACCAAGCCATCTGGTGTTCGGGTCTCAGAAACCAGCGTTCGGCATTCGGTTTTCGGCGTTGGTTTTTGGCGTCCGAACTAACCAAGTGTTTTTCAACTTTTTATGATTGGTTTTTACTTCTGGGCACATTTAAATAGTTTTCCATCAAAAACACTTCAAAAACCACCTTTCTTCGTTTTTTGTCGTTTGATAAAAACCATGCGAAACGGCATAAACTTGGCTAGCCGTGGTTTTTACTTAAATGAAGTGGTTTTCAAGTCTTTTTGTGTAGGAATTGTTTTTTAATGCATTTAAATGGTTCTCCAATCAAAACATCATGAAAACCACCTTTCGGTTTTGTCTTTTGGTAAAAACCACCCGTGTACGGTGTTGACTTGGTCAACCATGGTTTTTACCTTAACGACGTGGTTTTCAACTTAAAAAGCTTGTTTCGACATCACAATACATTAAATAAGTGTTTTATATACTTAGTTTTTACTTTGGAGAACTTTGCATTTTTCGGTCGGGTTTTAGTGCCAGTCAGCTAAGCCATGGTTCTGGGCTAGCGATACCCAGCGATGGTAGATATCACCCATGCATGGGTAAGTGATATTACCCAGCGATGGGTAAGCAGCCTTCAGCCCAACTGATTTCCAAAACCATGCCAAACAGCGATGGGAAGTTCTACCCATCGCTGTTTAAGCCTTGGTCCAACATTTTCGCAAGGCAGAATGCCCCTACCCAGCGATGGGAACCTTTACCCATCGATGGGAACCCAGCGATGGGAGGGCATACCCATGGCTGGTTAGGCATGACCGTTGTGAGTCATTTAAGGCTGATTCTTTCCTTGTTTTAAAGTCAACCTCCCACCCAGCGATGGGAAGCATTTACCCATCGATGGGTAGGTGACCGTTGGCTTCAAAACTGAAGGAAATTTGGCTTACCAGCGATGGGTGAGTCTAAACATCGATGGGAAGCCAATATCCTGCAGATCCCAAATTTATTCAATCCCATAAATCAAGCTAATCACCCCTTTAATGTATTGGTCCGTTGGAGCCTATTTTGGCACTATAAAAAGGGGTGTTTGGGTCTGCTTTACACATTCATTCACTTCACAATATTCATATTATCATTGCATTCAAACAATATCATTTTTCATAGCTTTCTAGAGCCAATTTGTGAAGTTTGAGTTGTTCTTGAGCGTATATAGTTTACTCAACATCTACTCTAAAAGAGAGCCTTATTCTTGAGTGTCTTAGTGTTGTATACACGTTAAGGGAAGCTTGTTTCCCTTGGTTGTACGAAGGAAAGGTATTTTCCTTCGGGTTGAAGTCTTGGAGTGAGGTATCTCCGAGCAAGTGTTGTTGAGGCTCGTGGGACTCGAGTTCTCAGGTTGTAATGGATTGTTAAGCACCCGTAAGCTTAACGGAAGTAGTGTAGCTCGAGAGAGTCTCTCGGGAGACTGGATTAGCCACACGTTGTGGTGAACCAGTATAAATCTTGGTGTGCTCCCTTTACGCTTTCTACGCTCTTTACTTTTCACGTTCTTAATTTTTTATTCCTACGATTTCTACGATCAAACGCTATTCACCCCCCCTCTAGCGTTGGTCACTTATTCTAACAAGATATTCTCATGTTTATGTCGTGTGGGGAATATATTTTGGGCAATTTTTTTTAAATAAGTTTTGGGTCCAAATACTTTGTTATTCTTAGTTGCATGTCTCCTTATTTAGAGCACAATTTTCAAAATTTTTCCATAAACCTCAGTATTTTTCTTGAGCTTTATTCTAAAAGATAACAAATGTTTCTTTATAAACTGACCTTGAGTTTTGATGCCCTTTTTCTTGGTAAAGTGACCTTAAAAAGTTTTAAGTTCTTCTAGGTATCCTTTAGATTTTTTTTCTAAACTGGCCATCCTTATATTATCTAGATGTTGTTTTAATGACCTTATGTGATCTTTAAAATCTAAAAAAACTAGAAGTTTTTAACTTTTTAGAAATTGTGTGTTTTTTTATCTTTTAGGCTTATTTTTCATTTTTTGCTACCGTTGCCATTGAGCCGTTTGAACCTATAGGATTCCCTTAGGAAACTTTTTTGTGGCAACTTTAGAACATTTTTTAGAACCCGATATATCCATTGTTTTGTTCTTCATCTTTGTAGGATTTTTAGCTCACTTTGTTTTTAAAATGCTATGGGCATAAAATTTTAATTGTGAGTGTGCAAGGTGCAATTTGTTCTTCTTGTTGATGATAAAAAGTTTTGTTTTCGTTTTGGTCTTTTGAATGAGGACGTTCAAGTCTTAAGTGTGGGGGTATTTGATAAGTCGGGTTTGGCTTAGTACTTTTTTTTCTTTTTTAGGCATTTTTAATACTTTTAAATTTTAATTTTTAGTTGTTTAGCTTATTTTTATTTTAATTCTTATTTTTTTACAATCTTTTAAATTTCTTGCACAAATTGTAGTTTTCTAATCACTTTTTTACATTTTGTTATTTTACTTTATTTTTCCTAACCCAAATTATCAGATATCTTATTTTTTTTGAACAAAAAGTGTAGCAAAAAGCCAAATCGGATTTCAAATTTGAAATGAAGAGATTGATTTTGGGCCGGAGCCCAAACCCAAAATTAAATAATCAGCCCAGCATTCTCTTCTCTCCCCAATTCAATTTCACGCAAGGAAAATAACTCCAGCGGCTCCTTCCTCTTCGTTAGCTCTCGAGCGACGCACGAAGATAACGCCAAAGCCAGGTCCAACGCTCCCCCACATTTATCGCTAGTATCAATTGCCAACGGGAAGAAATCAACGGAACAATCCTTCGGCTATAAATTGAAGACAAATCACATTTGGAGAAGGAGGGAAAAACAAGGAACAACTACGAGAGAGCCGCGGCGGTGGTGGCGGCCGGCAGATGCGAAGCGGCGGCGGCTACAGCTCCGGTCGGCGATGGGCAGCAATCTCCAACTCCAGTCATGGCTCCACTTTCTTCAATTTCATCATCATCTTCAACAACTGGTAACCCTATATTTGTCAATTTCTTTTTTTCTCCAATTTCTTTGTAAAAGTTTGTTTATGATTCAATTTACATTTTTTCCCCTTGTTGTGTTTGTTTCAAAAATTCCAAAATATGGTTGGTGTTCTTCTTTTTGGGTTTTTTTAATGTTTATATTAAATCCCTTATGAATGAGAATTGATTCAAACTAGTTTTTTTCAATTATTGAGCAAGTTGTTAAATTGGTTGAATTGCATAATTTGATTTCATAAGTAGGTTGATATGTGGAATTTGGTTTTTGTTGGAGCTATTTTAACTCCATAAGGTAGTTAAATGAATTTCGAATTCATACGTGATTCTTTGTTGTTATTTGTGTTTGTTGATTTTAAGATTTTTGCACTTATTAGCCTCATAAGTTGATTCATTTTTCTTAGAATTCGTTATTGAGTGATTGTTGTGTTTTTCGTATGCTTGTTCGTTATTTTCATTGAGTTGAGGTTGTTTAAGCTCAAAAACGATTCTCAATTTATTGAAAATATGTTGTGTTCATATACGTGAATAGAAAAAACGTCATTGGTTTGAGAAGTTCATGAAAATCTGTGAAATGTGTGAAATTCCAACACACCCAAAGATATATTTGCAACAAAGATAAACAGCAAACAGACGCAATCACAAAACCACTATTGAAAGGAGTGTTGTAGCATTAGAACACGCAAGATGCTACAACACTGTTTCCAACAGTCACACACACAACCAAAAATAAACACGTAAAAACACAGGTATTTGTTTACGTAGTTCGGAGCAGTATCTCCTACGTCTGCGAGGCCCACATCCGTGTAATAGCCTTTCCACTAGATCAACGTAAGAATTACACTATCAATCTTCAATAGATCCTTCTAATGAATTTGACTTGTCTACTTACGAGATCTGACAGCAAACTCGGTTTGTGTCACTCCTAGGCCTATTACACCTTCTTCTTGCTCTGCACGAAGGATGTGTCACTGACCCTTGCTCAGCTAACCAGGTTGCAACTGCTGAACAATCTCTAGAGAAGATCCATGATTGATCTTCTCATGCAAATCTATCACAGTTTTGTTTTGATCAGAACAGCTATGATCTCACGCTCTCTCACCAGATATTATGAATATTATTCTGCGCACCCGCTGTCATGCATGGGCGTCTCTTTTTATATGATGTCCATAGCCCTAGTGGAGTTAGTTTGGAACTCTTACGATGATAAGTTTGAGCGCCAGACAATCCTAGCGCGCCATGACTTCCTCCATAGTCTGCATCGGTTATTAAGCACGTGGCCAGAAAATAACCAGGCTGATGTAGATCCTCTTGATGCTGGATACCTCATGGACTCCTCTTGACATATAAGTCTCCACATATTTAGAGTCCAACCGTAGAGAAACTCTATGCTGTGACTGATAGGATGCTACAACTCTTGACTTAACATAGACATGCTAGCAACTCTACAGAAGGGTTTTGTCAAAAAATAATGCCAACATCGAACTATACCAACAGAAACTAGTTGGATCTAACAATGTGCTCTTCATTAGGAGAAAAGGTTTATTAAAATGCATAAGGTATTGGCGTTTAGAGATTACCTTTTCATGCAGTTGTTTTGTGAGTGGCACAAATTTGAGTTTTTAGGCACTCTTTTTTTGGGCATAGGATTCACCTCACCATCGAGTGAATCTTTTGGGAGTAAGTGTGATTTCTCAACAAGAACACATGAATCAACGATGTTCACATTAAAATAGTCAAGAACACAAGCAACCTTTTTACTTGGCTCTTGTATATTGAACTCGCTAGAAATGGTCTCCCTAGAATGATAGGAACTTGGGCATCTTCTTACATATCCAAGACAACAAAGTCTCCCGGAATATAGTATATGTCAATCTTGACGGGAGCATCTTCAAGAATACCAATGGGGTACTTGACAGAACGGCCGGCCAATTGTAGTGCCATAGTTTTCGATTTTGGATCGCCTAAGTGTAGCTTTTGACACAGAGAGTATGGAATCAAGCTAACACTTGCACCAAGATTACAAAGAGCTTTGTTTACTTTAGATCCTCCGATGTGGCATGCATGGAATTGAGAAACTTCCAGGATCACGTAGTTTTGGTGTGATCTTGTTTTGAATAATGGCACTGCACTCTTGACTCATGGCCACCATGAGAGGATTTTCCTTCTTCTTTGTTAAGATCTCCTTGAGAAATTTAGCATAAGAAGGAATTTCAATGATAGCATCAAGGAATGGAATAGAGATATCCAATTGCTTGATAAGGTTTTAGAACTAGCTTCTTCTTTCCTCTATGTGTGATTTCTTCAATCGGTTTGGAAAAGGTGGTGCACTACAAGAAAACTGTCAATTTGCCACGGACAATTTCCGTTGCAGAATTTGAAATTTCGTGGCAGATTGCTAATCTGCGACAGAACTGCAACGAAAATTTTCTGTCGCAGAAAAGTTGTGGCAGATTGAAAATCTGCGATGGAAATTAAATTCCGTGGCAGATCTGCGACGGACCTGCAACGGGTACGTCCGTCTTTTGCACCCCAAATATCTGCGACGGAAGTCTTGAATCCGTCGCAGATCTGCGACACAAGTAGCGACGGGTCTCTCCGTCGCAAATAGGCGACAAAGGCAGCAACAAGTGTTAGAATAAGTGCCCTTCACTAGAGGGGGGGTGAATAGTGAGGCACGAGAATGTTTATAAATTTTCGCGGAATAAAAATCGCAGGGATAAGGTAAAGAGCGGAATAAAAAGGAGTAAAGGGAGCACACCAAGATGTACCCTGGTTCACCACAACTTGTGGCTAATCCAGCCTCCCGAGAGACTCTCTCGAGCTACACTACTTCCGTTAAGCTTACGGGTGCTTAACAAACCGTTACAACCTGAGAACTCGAGTCCTACGAGCCTCAACAACACTTGCTCGGAGATACCGCACTCCAAGACTTCAACCCGAAGGAAAATACCTTTCCTTCGTACAACCAAGGGAAACAAGCTTCCCTAAACGTGTTTAAAACACTAAGAACACTCAAGAACAAGACTCTCTTTAAGAGTAGATGTTGAGTAAACTATATACGCTCAAGAACAACTCAAACTTCACAAATTGGCTCTAGAAAGCTATGGAAAATAATGTTGTTTGGATGCAATGATAATATGAATAAAGTGAAGTGAATTGATGAGAAAAGCAGATCCAAACACCCCTTTTTATAGTGCAAAATTAGGCTCCAACGGACCAATGCATTAAAGGAGTGATTAGCTTGATTTATGGGATTGAAAAGATTTGGGATCTGCAGAATATTGGCTTCCCATCGATGTTTGGAACTTACCCATCGCTGGTAAGCCAATTTTCCTTCAGTTTTGAAGCCAACGGTTACCTACCCATCGATGGGTA